GCGTGGAAAATCTCCCTCCACTCTTCAAACTCTACACTGTCTGCTCATATGCATCCTCTCTAACCACTCTTACCCGACAAGCCCTTGAAGATTCACACGGCCCTCGCGACCGACGCCTTCAAAGCTGTATTTGGTGAGGGGTTGAGGAATATCTCCGATGAGAGCGGTCGTGGTGACGTTTGGATCCTGATCAGACACCCCCGTCTTCACCTAAACGACACACAGTCTAATCTTTCACCAAAGTGGAGGTGCTTACTGCGCTCCACCTCCCCACCGGCGAGTTGTGTTACGACACTCTGCCGTGGAGCTCACGATGATATCCAGCTCGTTATTTACAATAAAATACTGACTTAGGGATACCACTTGCTGATGTGAATACGTAAAATCTCACTGACCCTGACCAGCATCACCACGTTGAGCTTACCCTTCAAACCATCTGTAACCACTCGTTGTTTAGGGCGGAGCTCGTAAACGTTAATACTTGTCACTAAGAGCAAAAATTTCAAGCTCTAGAAATTCGACCCGCGAGTGTCTTTGCAAGCCACTGGATACTACCACTCAGGGGTACAGTCTACACGTCAAGTGGCAGCGGTTGTGAATACTCATACCCTCCGTGAGGATGTGCCTTGGTTACTCGAAAGCTGGAGAGACTGCCGATTTGTGTCAATTTTCCAGTCGCGCCATTGGTGAGCAACACTTTGTATACCCGTCTTGAAATATTTTTAATCAAATTCAACGACGTGAACACCCGTTTAGGGCGTCGAATCCCAACATTCTCTACCAAATCCGCCACATGGTGGCGTCTAGGTGACATGAGGTGAGCCAGTTTATGCTTGACCTGTGTGAAGAACAAAGCACATCGCAGACATCTTGGTGTGAGCCCAACGCCTTCAGCTTATGCTGTTTACAGTCTCGGTCGTCTTCTTGATGTAGCAGCGATAGTCACCGACATAGGGTATGATTCATCGCGAAGTCAAATTTATCAACCAATGGAAAGTGCGCTGCTACGGTCAACATCTCCAATTTTTTTTATGGAGATCAAGGTTGAGATTGCGTCAGATTGTAAGCAGTCATCAACCAGGGCAATCTTGATGAATTGGAGCCTACCCCCCCCAGTAGATTTCTCACTGGGTTTATTCATTTTGCTTCACCGGATACTGGTGACAGCCCCAGTGTGTTAGCCAAATTCCCAAACAAAATTACGTGAAACTGGGTCACCTCTTGACCAATGAGCAGTGTCGGCGTACGTCGATTCTACCACGGCTAATCTTCGCAAGCCTTCACGGTTGTGGCGGTACGTCGAATGTCACCGAGGGTCCCGGCGTGAATCCAGACTAAAATAAGCCAGATCTCGGATTCTTTGTATGGAATTTAAAAAATGCACTGACTAATGTGAGTGAGTGCATACCCACTTGTACATTTTGAGCCAGCAATATATATCGCACATCGAACAGTATGTCTATTCTTTTAGCGACCCAAAAGACTTCATGTGTCTCGTGAAGTATTCTATGCTTAAGGTTCTTAAGATTGATTCCACTCCAGGATGAGTGTCATATGGGTCAGTAGCAAGAGTTGGAATCTGGCATAGGGCAGGCGTACAACCGCGCGCTTCGGTAATATGTCACCTATACACTCAAACGTTTAAAAGCTTTTACCAGCTCTTAAGACTGCCAAAGTTTCCCCGTTCATGAGTGAATAATGTTTCTCATCGCAAACTCGTAGAGCTCTACTGCCTCTTACGATAAGTCCGTTACAGGGTAGTGTTGGCTCATAAGGACCGTCACATTGTGACAAATATGGGGCATCCTTCTGAGCCTCAGCGACTGTTTTTCCTATTGAAGCGTTGCTATATGTCATGAACTCCAGCGTGTTTCTCAGGTGGGAAGGAAACGAACAGCTGGGAGCTATCTACTGTTGCAGGGCCTGTAGATAGTGGAAGCGACTCCGTGCCCCGGTCTCTTGTGACAGAGCCGGTAGAGCCGAAGGCCAACAGTATGTCGCAAGTAGCGCTACACTCTGGAGATCAGGGCATACGCTAACCTTCCCTGTCTCATCATGAGACCGCGGCAAACTGCTGCTTCTGTCTTCCGAGCCTATGTTAAGGCTAATAAATCTTGCTATGAAGAACTAATTTGCACCTCCAATTTACCCGACTCCCAGTCAACCCAAATTTCCTGATGTTCCAACCATGCCATACCTAGGATAAGAGCGAATCTCAACACCGGGTTCAGGACAACAAAGCTATAAATGCTGTCAAAGCCACCAGACTATTAGGAAGGCTGAAGCAAACCCTCAAAACTTTTGAGTGTTCTTGTTTCGAGGCTCAAGGACATCATTTCGTATTTGGCATCTTTCATCCCGTCCACAATTTTAGACAGTCGCGCATTGTACATGATTGCACGACGCTCATGAGCCTATCAGGTCTTTCCATGTATCTATAAAGCACAGGACATACAATCTTATCATCGACAATTCTCGACGTTTCCCAGCGAGGGAATCGTCGACCGCCTTTGCATGGAGCCCGGCCCTTCGTACCTCTGAGTCGATAGCGAAGGGGACTCGCAAGGCATATGTTTGGTGTACCACCGCTGATCAAACATCTGCAAATAACAATAATGTAACGGGGTTTCACGTACCCTTGTATGAAAGGGTGAGTCACACAAGATGGTGTGACCGTACATAAGTGCGGATTACACCGATCGGTGTAATCCGCACACAGTGGTGTGGCTACACCGTAACAAGAAGCCACTATGTGACAGGACTGCCAGTAATTATGCACAATAATTAGGTTTTACAATCTAGTTAGGAAAAACGAAGGTTTTAGATATAGGTGGCTTTGCCGCAAATGTAATGGTTAATTACAGTTTCAAACGGAAGGGCGTCTTTACTTTGGTTAAGGCTCTTAAGTACTTTTGGAGGTAGCGAATTGCGATCCGCATCACTCTTACTGGTTCTGGTATAGCTCTTTGCTTAGAGAAAGTAAGGTCGGTGACATTAGTAAGCTTTCTCTAAGCAAAGCGCTACGGTGGCCCCGCTGCACATGATAGTACTCGTAGTCAATCTAAGCCTGAGTCGTTACGACCGATCCTCTGTGAGGATGAGGCAAATCCCCCTATTAACCCCAGGGCATGCAGGACGGGCTTAAAGGCTGTGTTTCTGCTTGTCCCTGAGGGCGTAGAACACCTTGTTTCACAAGGATCCGAAGCGATAAACGCGCGCCTAAATGCGTTCTCGAGCTATAAAACTGCTCTGCTAGAGCACCTACAACAGAAGCTGTCGGCGTCGACAGCGTCCATGACGCCATCGTCGACGACGGATGACTCTCTCCCGACCCAAGCCGCACATGGTGAGCGTTAAGACCTTCGAGAGGGTAAGAATGGAGAAAATGTCATGCTCTGGGTAAGAGGCCGAGATGGCTATGACATCAGATATGTTCCAGAACGAGCAACAATCGCGCGGCGCTAGCTATCTCCTATCTCGAAGACCGAGCGCGAGAGTAAGCACTAACGTGTGGTACTTCCATTGAAGCGGCGTATCTCTCCTGGAAGGAGCTGAATCGTCAGCTTTTGCGAGCATTCTCGCCGCCAAACCAGGCATATCGCGTGCGATCGCGTTTCCTTGCCACCCGACAGGGCAAGAAGGAGTTGGTGGGCTTTGTCCCAAAGATGCGAACTCTTATTGCCAGATGGCAGCCAATCCTCTCCCCAGGGCGGTCAAAGTGACTGTCTTTATTGAGGACCTCCGCACTGGCTCGACCAGAATAAAAATCTTCTGTGTACAACCGACTTCTTTTGAAGAAGTGGTGAATGTGGCATCGAATGCCGAATTCAACTTCAAGTGGGCACGACTTGGTCGGAATGCACAAGCGTAGAGCTCGTTTGGCGGGCCTGAGCCGATGGATATCAGCTATGCCGAGAAATAGAGGGAGAACTTCGAGCTGCAGAGCATCGATAAAACACCCGACGGCGTTTTGAATGTGGAGACACCCGTCACCTTTGTCTGGTAGTTCCCTGCTCAAGGCGCGTAAATGCTCATCGATTCTTACCAATCCGGTTTGTCGCGGGGATTCGACAACACCCAGTAGGCGCGGGGCGCCCTACTGAGGATGAACTGAGTTTTGCTGAGCTTTAAAGAGGTAGAGGGCAACAGGGCCAAGCCCCGAAGAGCTTTGTGCTCTTGAATACGGAGCGTGCATGCAAGACGGGCTTACTGGTCGTAAAAGCGAACATGAAAGGCGTTGAAAATCCATGGAAAATCCTGATCGATTCCGGGGCGCCGGGCAATTATGCTCGACGCTCCACGATCGAAGGAAGTCAGCTGTATGCTGAGGCGCTGGAAACGCGACCGTCACTGTTCGTTTAGCGTCGGGTAGTTTTGTTGCTGTGCCAAGGGATACTGTGAACCTCAAAATCAAGTTCCTTGACTTTAATAGCGTAGAACGCTGCTTAGTATTAACTTGGAGTCAAGATATGACCTCACCCTTGGTATTGCGTGGTGGGAACACCATGACCCATGGATTGATTGGAAGCCGAAGTTCTTGGGCGCTAAGCGCACAACTCCTGGTGGAGCTTTGGTGAGTCATAGAAAGCAAAAGTGCTATCAGCGCGGGCACCGACCAGGACGGTCAACGTTCTTAAGATCGGAATATCCGAGTTGTCAAACACATATGATTTATTGAACAATCGTCCCGAGCATGGCTTGCGGGCTGAACGTGGAGTGGCACGTGACCCACTGGGATTGCAATGTATCAAAGCAGTTACTGTATGCCAAGAGTGGCATGGTTGACCAAGGGCCGAGGCATCGAAGGCGAGGCCCAGTGGCGCCCATGGAGTGGCACGTAACCCAGTGCGCACTGCTCACGTTACGATACAGTTGCTGTATGCCGAGAGCGGCATGGTCGGACGAGGTTCGAGGCATCCTAGACAAGGCCCTCCTGATGCGCGTGGAGTGGCACGATATCCACTGGATGAAGACCGCGAAAATACCGGTTATCGTCGGATGTTGTCAACAACATCAAGGCTCTGATAGAGTAGGGGGTGGGGACACTGGACGACGCCGAGTTCGAGTTCCAACTGGTCTCGACGAGACGTAAAACATTATCGAGAGGAGACGGCGAAGCCGTATGTCATCTGCAGGACGCATGGTGTCGATTCTGACCCAGGGTGTGTCTAGTGTAGAAGATTGTGCACAGCGATGTATTTGTCAGCGGTATGACGGGAGAGGAAGACGGCGACGCCACCCTCGTGGCGAGTCCAGCGGTGGGTGCTCTTCTTGAGCGGGACAAAATTTCCTTCGAAGAGTATGGCGGTGCCTTGAAGGTAGGCAATTTAGCCGAGGTGGTCATTGTAAGACCGAACTAGAAGATTAACTCGTCGACGCTTCGAGGTGAAGCTACCCTGGAGGACACCAAGAGGGTTCTGAACGCACGAAGTTGATCGTCGATCCTGAAGGATCCCTCGAATTTGTTCTATGCTTTGGTGAAGGATTTTCAAGACGTCGTCCACCTTAGGTCCTACTTCCGGACCGAGGTGTACGTAAAGAGATCGACCTGGTTCCGGGAACCAAATTCTGCGCTACACTCCAATGCCCCTGCCCAAGGAGCAGTGTGACATCATTGACGCAACTTCCGTGCGAAGCACGGTGCAGGAATTATGCATGGGAACAAGACTCCCCATTCGACACCCACGTTTTGTGTCCGGAAGTCGAACGGCAAGTGGCGTATCGTTCACGCTTACATTTTTCCAACACATACGCCGATTCCTAGGAAGGATGTTCTCCAGAACAATACGGTTCACTCGACTTGGTCAATGGGTA